GGCGGACTCTTGCTATGAGCCAAACGCATTGGAGACAATACTAAAATTCATTTCTGCAAAGACAGAGCTTGGCTGAATCAACACGACTGTTCGCTGTTGTCTTCGGATATTTCTGTTATTTCAAGGGATCGATGCATACATTTAAGAAGCACGAATCTGACTTTAATTTATTAACCGCTGACCGAGATTACTGAAGTCTCTCCGAGAGCTTTCCAACAAAACTGGACTAATAAAATTTAGAAGCATGTGCGCCTTAATTTCTTTAATTAAACGTAATAAAAACTTCAAAATAACTTTAAGAGATTAAAAGCATGGAATGTAATCAACACGGGTGTGATATGGCGAACAACTTGGGAAACAGCCTAGCCCCTGGATTGAGAACACCACTGATAAATAATACTCAACCAGAAACAAGTTCCAACGCAAGCTTTTTTCCGGAAAAACATCGTGTAAAGAGTAATAGTATTCTGTGTTTTGCTTCGTATGATTCAAAAGCTATTGAAGGTTCCTTGCCACTCTCTACACACTTTTAACTTCAATGCAAATGGCTTGAAAGTTTTTCGCTGCACAAGATGTTAGAGACAAAAAGCGATTATACAGTTACGGCGAAAAATTGAAGACTTCCTAAAATATATAATAAAAATGTAGCTAAATCGAGAACGATATTACTGTTGTATGATTTGGGAACAGCCGTAAACACGGTTTTGCTAAATAATTAGAGTCGCCATAAGTTTTAAGGAATCCACATGCCCCTGTTAACAGACAACAAAGGGAAATATATAGCTTTCCTTGCCGGCTCTTTATGGGAATAATTCGATATAAATTTACTTTATCAAACTGCGGACTTTCAGCGGTTTCTTCAAAGCTTAAGTAAAAGAGCTTAAAGGCAGTGCACATAATCAAATTTACAACGAAGTGTTTGACAACAGTCGTAATGGGAACACAGTTTTTGATCTTTGGCACGTTTACGCTGTGACTTACGGTTTGAATTTAATAGTTACAACACTGAATTGATAAATATAGAGCAAGGGTGTAAATTCTACCAGAAAAATAAATGTTTTGGCCATATCGGTTCACATTTACAACCATTTTAACAGCTGATTGTTGAAACTCCATGCCTTGTTGTGACATTTTGGCAATTAGAGCGAATTATAAAATCAATTTTACTTAAATTACAACTACTATAAACATTGCCGACGCAAATTGTGTCTACTGTTTCAATATTATATAGCTTCTCTATGCTCTTTGAACCAAATTAGATGAAACGAAGCGTAGAATAAAAGACCAAGTCGGAGTCAAACGAGAATCAATATATTAGACGTTAAAGTTTAGTGCGCTTTTAGACACTCGCTAGCTTTTATCGAGACAAATTTTATATCAGTCAATTTATTTTTTTCAAATTTCACTTCCTTCGTTGCTGTAATAAATGGCTTTGAAACACGCGGAGTCAATTTCGTTAAATTTGCCTTTATGCGGTTAAAAACCATCACTAAGACAGAAACGACATAAAATGATATATCATGCTTGACCACACTGCGAGGAAAGCGCCCGACCTTTCACTTTCGTCCATTATTTACAAAAATGATAAATTAAATAAAGCAAAACATTATATTATAACCTACACTGAGCACGTAAAAATCCCCAAATTGAAAAGTTTGCTTATGAAAGATTTATGACGTGAAAAAATGGAAAAAATAATTTGTGCCGGGCAAAGTACGCGAAACAAAACAGAAAGATCACAGAATATATTGAGACGATATCTCATTGAGAGTGCTGTTGAGTGCTCGGGGTAAAGCACTTTGTTCAACTACATTACTTGTTCGCTGTAACAGTTACAAAACTGCATTATTCATGTAAATTAGTCACTCCCCCACAAAGCAAATTTCGTGTATAATGTTTTTATTTCGGTGTATTATTCAACTTTTATGCTCTGCTAATTGCAAGGCGCAATTATATTAAGACACAAATGTACATAATTGCCTTTCAGAAATAGCCCCGAGCAAACACTGATCCATGAAACACTCCCAAAATACATTTTATATAGCGCCTCTTCAGCGTACAGTATTGCTGTGGGTCAGTTAGTTAAATACGAAGAGTAAAACAAAAATAAAATCGAAGATTGTGAGCGAGTATGACATGTTTTTGCAGTTCATTGCCATGTTTTCATGTTACTTGATAACATACAATGTTTCTAAATCCACTTTAACTTAAGGATTAAATTTGCAAGCATGACTGTAGAATCGATTGTGGGATAAATGGATAATTTAGTTCTCATGGAAAAAACATTCTGCGAGATGAAAGAATTTGACTCTAGAACTTCAATCTTCGGCCGTGAAAGTAAGGATTGTCTTCGTGCCTCTCAGTTCCGTTCACTGTACTGTAGCTTGAACATTTCTCACACCGACGGAGCGAATATGTCGCAATACCAAATTGCAACCACATCAAGACTGCATTTGGAGGGATACAAAAGGTTGTTAAGGCTCATTTAAGCTTTATATTTTCTCCTTTTCACCAGCCTATCGTAAGTATTCCGACGTGAATTTTCTCGTTCTGGGAATGCAGAAAAAAAGATGGAATAAACATCCTTATAGCTGAGAATTTACCCTTCAAACTGTCCAATGATTAAAATTAAAAGCTCTTCTGTATACAACAATTTACTAGGCTGTTCCTTGTTCAATAATTTTGGTAAGCATAACAGGCTAATCCTATATATCTATGATAGAAATTAAAGTAAAGTTTTTATCTCTTCTCCCATTTCAACAAGAGCTGGAATTGACTTATCCATAGCTAATTGAACAGAAATTTTGATGCGGCGTATTAAATGCAATTTTAGTGACCATAACTTGCTTTCATGATTCTTAATTCCTTCTGAAATTCTGATAATCTATTTCACATTGGGAATTATAAAGCTTCCCGACTTTTATACAATAAAATATATCACTTTAAATAACTGTGCTGTTTATTCAGTGTTAATTCTAATTGCAGACTTCTTTTAAATGGCTAACCAAAGGCTAAGTCCTTGGCCGACAATATTCGCCTAATTTCGTGTGAATTTTAAAGGAAACTGAAATATTTACAAGTGTATTTGACGACATATTTATATATTTTTTGTGTTTTTCTGGTTTCTGATAATCGGCATATGATTTGTTAGCCCCATTTCTTTGCCGGGAACCTTGAAGACAGTGAAGCTTCTTCCAAATACAGACTCAGAGTTTATCACGGTGTTCGGTCGACCATTTCGAAAGCATGTGTGAAAGTCACTGTAGCCCTTTGTCAGGGTGCTACTTTCCTAAGCTGCTCTTGCAGTTTAGACAAAGTGTCTTGCCAGCTTTCTGGTCTGCCGTTCTGACTTTGAGCAACGATTCCTTTGGAGCCGAGGTAGGCGGAAAATGCTGAAGACTCCAAAGGGTTCGTCGCACAAGCTGCGCCGGGAACAGAGGCCGCCGTTAGCTCTGATATACAAGGCAGAAGCGCCGGCGATGCGTGGAAGAGAAGAGAGTGCGTTGGGGAGGTTCCAGGGTATTCCCTGCTTCCGTGTAGGCTCAAGGAAGGGTAGGATCGGACAGATACTGGACTGTAAAGGTATGAAGAGTCATACGAACCCATAATGCTATCAATAGCGAAGCTCTTTTTAGTCGGACGAATGTACCTTAAACTGGGATACATGCGGTACTCATCACCGCGATACGGATAGAAGGAAGAATGCGATGAAAACGAGTTTAGTCCTCGGAAATACGCCGATTGAGGGGAGCTTCCAGCAAATTTCAATGGATTGCTTCGTCTCACGCGGCGTCTTGCTCTCCTTCGTCTGAAATCACCGTTGGCGAAATCTTCAAGGTTCGCTGGATGTATAGCCCAGTAGTTACCTTTGCCGTTTTCGCTGCGACCTGCCTTGATGAAGCATTCGTTAAGAGACAAGTTATGCCTTATGCTGTTCCGCCAACTCTTATCCTTGTTTCTGTAATAAGGAAAGTTATCTGAAATATACTGGTAAATGTCCCCCAGAATCATCTTCTTGTTTGGGCAACTCAAAATCGCCATTGCGATCAGAGCGATGTACGAGTGAGTAGGTTTGACTTCAGGATCGGAACTACAATCTCCTTTACTGTCGTCTGGGAGCGTTTCGTCTCGCCCCAACTTTGCTGAATCACCATCGTCATAATCCAACTCCACCACAAAGCTCTGCACGCATTCTTCAGAGATGCGTTCTCCTTCCTCGCTCTCAGACTGAATCTCTTGTTCATTCTCGCTGTCTTCAAAATCTTTTTCCCCGCTGAGTAACGCCATTTCACTACACTTGCCAACAAACGGTGAACCTCGTCCGTAGTTTGCACAATCAGCCACTCGTTCAGTCACAAACTCGTTCATGTTGCTCATGTGTTGAGTTGTGAAATTGCCTGTACCGTGCGCGTTTTATATGGCCCACTGCAGCGATAGCAAATTATAGTTTTAGTTAGTCAAACAAATACGGGGCCAAACAATAGCTTCCGATTGGTTTCGGGTCGCTGACATATATTTATCACCCCCCTTATAAGTACCTATATTGACCTTTCTACAATTTGTTCTGTCTCGGCTAAACAAAGCCAAGAATAGAGCAACCGAATTACTCTGAACGTGACACGGAATCCAAGCAAATTTCCCAACGAGAGCGTTTTACAAGCCGCGAGGGCAGAGACTTCCAATAAAATTCCTTCGCTGCGCGATAACATCAGTTTTCTGGTAATTTCAGGTCTTGATTTCACCGCGTTTCTTTTATGTTATTCTTGACTGTTAAGTTCTATTGTAGACAAGGTGATTAACGTAATTGCAAAGAACCGCCTCCATTGCTGTTCGACCACCCGGCCTGCAGTTCTAATAGTGACCATGTTTTACAAGCGTTAATCTCATTGGGTAAGAGTTACATTGACACTAAGGCATAAAACTTGGCAAATAAGTTATGCTTTTATAAAATACGACGTTGCTGGAAACAGCTGTTTGATTTCTTTTCTTCATGCACGAACAAGACTATGACATTAACATAATCGTTCCGACCTTGTAATTCATTTTACATGACAAACACATATTTAATATGTTTTAGCAAGTTTTCAGTTTATTTTCTATACGAAACAAACTCTGACAGGATTTAGCAGCAGGTGCATGGTAAATGTTTTTTTTTCTGTTTTCTGTTGATAAACATTTAAAATAAACGACATCGAAATGGAGATGGTGTTTCGCCTTATCTCGCCTAATGTGCTAAATGCGACTAACTTTTCACTGAATTTCTTAAGAAATCTCTTTAGCATAACTGGAAGATTATATTTGATACTTGCTCGCTTATTTCGACCTGTAGTGGTGCTTCTAACTCTAGAATAGCTTAAAATAACCTATTACTATTAAAACTAAGCTGAGAACATCATCTAATTTAGGAATTTAAATCTAAGTGTTTTTGGTCGATAATTTTCCAAATGCTTACAAAAAATAGGCGTCAAACGAAATGTTTTGTCTCACAATCTTAGTAAAGTTGGAATTAATGTTTATGTTCTTTAACTAACAAAGGAATGTGGTTTAAATCCACCGCCTTGTTTTTTTGCAAATTCGAAAACCTTTTCCTCGTTCGAGAGACAACCGCCATCTTTAGCTCTCTTTTTGCGATGTCGAGTTTACGGAGTCCATTTCTTAGTTTGCACTGTTTGTAATGGCTGTATCTTTTTGCTGTTAGATCAACTTCAAACAAATTAAACCTCTCCCTTCACGCGGGGACCAAATAGTTTTCATGATCTGATAAAACCTTTGGCACCCAGCGAATAATAAATTGATTAGTTCTTACAATACCTATCGCTCGAAGCTGTATTTTCTCGTAAGATTGTCGTTAAGCCAGGCAATAGGATTCTTTGTGTAAATGAGTATTTCTTTGATTCGGATTACGAAATAAAGCTAAGACATTTGAAACACGGCTTAGACAAAAGATCTCTAAATTAAAGAGATATCAATAAAGCTTATATATCGTAAATAAGACTAAAAACCACATCACTCTCGATGTTTTCATTTTTGCCGACATGTTGCGATGCAACTGAATAGGTGATTTCATAAGTTACTAAATCTGAACTAGCAAGCTGGTGGAAAAATGTTTTGTTCGCTTTTTATTCGAGTTAAAAGAAAAAATAATTCCTTGCCATTTGCATAAATCTGAACTGTTAATTGTAATTTGCCGCTTGCTAAAAGTTACAGAAAATATTCCTCCTTCTGTTTATCGATTAGCGAACTAGGAATTTTTATCAACATTGATCAATTTTTTCGTTTGCCTTCTCAGGTGGTGTCGCAGAAATGTGGTGAATATACGTGAAAAGGAATTCTTTAGAAGCTGTGATCGGTGTACCACAATATAACTTTTGCATTTAAGTTTGTTTTGCTCGCAGCATGGCCCCTGAAAACACAAAGATCAGTTTTGATAAATCTCCAGCTGGTTTGCACCGAGTTTATGCATAGAACAGAACAGTTTGTCTTTAAAGAACAATGAATGTACACCGTGTGTGGCAAACAACATATAGACTTAACTTGTTTGGCTGTGTAGCTCTGAAACATATTTTATTTGACTTAAATGAATTTCGGATACGCGTTCTTTGCCATTATTTTTTATCATGAAGAAAGTTTAATTTAAAAATTGGCGTCTGGAGAAGATGAGATGATTTATTTCCTACAAAAGCAGCCCAATAAACGAAAATGTGGAACACACATTCAAACGACAAATTCCCTCCATTTTTTTCCAGTTTCGCTCTGTTCTAGCTTGCTTTTCAGCTTTTGATCAGAACAGTCGAAAAAGCCTAGGATGAAATTGTTTCTATATCTGAACAAAAATCCACTTTGTTGAGCAAAAAGCTAAAAAAAAAAATAATAAAATGGTCAGGTGGTTTTTAGCACACTTTATTCCACAGCAAATATATTTCGCATTTAAGACACTATTTTGTGGCTATACTCCATAAATCATCTTGGCTTTTCAAGACAATTTAACTTAATTATTTATGGCCATTAGAAAGTGTCGTTCAAAACATTTTTGTCGCTTTCAGGTCAGGGTCAATGCTTCCTACTAAAAACAGTCTCGGTTTTTGCCTCTGGTAAAGGCATATCGAATCCACCGCGAGGATTTACTTACAAAGTTATAACTGTACGCGACATGAATTAATCTGCGTGGAAAGAAAGTGATACTCATATACACCCAAAGCTATTGTATTATATTGGAAGATTCAGTGGATTACTGGCAGGCAATGATAAATTAGGTCAATTAAGATGATTAGCAAGTTGTTTTATTGTCTCTTTCATTATAGCATCATTGTTTGAATACCGACCCCTCCCCCAGAAGGCAGGTGACGACGAATTGAGCTTAATTGAATCTCTTTCAATCAAATATCGGTTTTTCTATACCAACGAGAAAACTTTCTTTGTGAGGCGATATTTCTTTTATTTTCAATTGTTTAGGTGTATTTTGCGTACAGTAAACACGGAAAAAGTAAAAAGCCGAAGAAAAACTACGCGAAGAGCATAACGGTGTTCTAAATTTTGCTATAACTGAAAGCAAAATAAACCACTCCCTGAGATATTCGCAGCCGACGCTCGCCAGTTCACAAGACGTTTTCTCTTGACTTTGTCTGTGTAATATTCTGTTCAACTTGTTTTCTTTTTGTGACAACTTTAGCAATTAAATGGAGTCAAAGAAAGCAATATCCGTTTCTTAAGGCAGTACGGTCATTCAATATCGTTTAAATAAACGCAAATCAACTCATTTACAATTGAGTTGTATTGAAAACCTACTTAAATGGTTTTTCCGTTTCCTGGAAACCAGCTCGTTCGGGTTCTAAGTAGTACAGAGATATCCGATGAAAATGTATTTTACAATTGACGGTGATTTAATTAAAACAAGCGGTCATGAATTCACGTTTCGTTCTAATGCGAACAGGAAAAGTATTTTTCGGAAGACTTAAAATACCTTTTTCTTTATCTGCTTGCAATTGGTTGCTTCATCTTAAAAAGATAAATAATAACTAAAGAAGTAGGTCTCAGTTATATTCAGTTATTTCTGGCCTTGTTCAGCGATAATATCATACATTTTGACTACTCTAAAGTTCAGTGAAATAACTTCCAGATCTTAGTGTTATTTCTCATATCGAAATACCCCTGAAATTTAGAAAAGATATATATTTCTTTAAGGTGTTCAACAGTGATAATTCCAGCTTCAGGTGTAGTTGAAATTACGCTAGTTTGCTGAAAGGATTTGAAATCAATAAACTCTGACGAAGGCAATATTTCTATCCTCGTTAAATGGATCAGTATATTGAGTGACTTGGCTTCCTGATCAAGATTATATTCCATGATTGAATAGCGAAAGTAGTGTCTCTGAAAGTCTTTAAATTGTACCTGAGAAGCTTAGAGGTGTTAAAACGTGAATAGAATAAATCTTTGCCAAATCATTATTCGCCACAATGTCGGTTGCCAAGGACAGTCTTGTACATTTTTAGAAAACAATTTAAGAACTTAAACATATGTGGGGTTCCAAGACTCCTAAAATTAAAAGAACTGTGTAATGATTTTATTGAAAAACAAACAAGAATTAGCCTACGGCCTGGATAATTTTATAAATATTGACTAAACTAATAATAATTCAAGGAGATATTTTCACTTTAAAATTCCCAAAATAAACTGAAGTGAGAGGCTATTGAATACAAATATATGCAGATCTACTCCAATGACATTCTTCTCAATTGTCATAACAACGAGTTTTAGTTGCCCTGGATACGGATTTTTGCGGTTTTCCCAGAGATTTGTACCTCGACGGAGGTGTACAACGCTCTTTTTTCATTATTAGTCCTCGTCAAACACAGCAATGAACCCAATTGCAAAAGCAGCGAAACTTCAAAGGCTGTTAATACAACGGGTCGTCATGCAGTGTTTCTCAGAGAAAAAAGAGGTTGAGTGACTTTTCAAGTTTGTGCACTGACATCAGAACGAGTCGAAAATTGGAAGCGCAGTGCAATAGCCGCGTTTTAAAGATTCTACCATTATCGACAATCAGACTTTTAATTTTCTAAATTTTCAAAGAGTGAGGGCATTATTTGGTCTCTAGTCTTGTAAAATATGCCTAGTAGTTGACGAGATTACATTTTCATGACATTGTTCGTGGTACTGTTCTAGCCATATTTACAGTTTACAGACTTTGACGTCAAACTCTTTAAGTTATTCAAGTTGAACAACAACCGTTGAACAAAAGAACTCTTTCGTTCAACAGACGCTAGGTCTCAAACTGGCGTTTTACCAGTGATATTACAATAAAGTAATATTTCTTGTCACGACACCATTGTCTGTAAGCACAGTACGTAATAACGTTATTTTGACAACATTTGGTGACGCGAAAGGAAATATTGCTTTAGGGTGTTGAACAATGCTATGGGCAGAATGAGACATTTTTATATTGCCAGGAAAGAACAGGACGTCCCGTTGTTTATCAGAACAACGAGTTATCAAGAGTCAGCAAGTAGGTTTTCTTTTTCTTTTTCTTTTTCTTTTTCTTTTTTTTTTTTTTTTTTTTTTTCTTTGTCAAGCATATTCGACACAAGCATGCGGACAATGATTACCATAGCAACTAAGAGCTGGTTATCTGGAACAGATCTAAAACCTCTTTGGAAAGTATATCAAGATATATTAGTTTGTCGGCACAAGTTAAAGGCCTGATATGGCAAATTATATAGTTTTGTCGTTATGGGCTTCTGTCTTTCAGGACAATCGATGCAAAAATATTTAACCATTACTCAATGTCTATAAAGTGGTTATAACTCAGCAGATAACATGTATTATTATTTTACCTTTTCCACATATACCTTGGTAATAAGATCAATACATAAGCCATTGATTTCTAGACCTGTAGATAAAAGCTGTATTAAACGAAATTCCAAGTATTAGGCAGTATAATTCTTTCAACATTTTCCCCTGAGTACATTGTACCGAGATTTTATTAGGTGATAAGAGTTGACGTCAATCGAGAACTGCTTTTCAGAACACCTCTTACTTCAACACTCAACACTCTTGG